CCACGAGCCACAATTACTGAAGCCTGTGCGCCACAACTACTGAAACCCACGCACCTAGAGCTTGTGCTCCGCGACAAGAGAAGCCACCGCAATGAGAAGCCAGTGCACAGCAACAAAGAATAGCCCCCGCTTAACGCAACCAGGGAAGACCCATGCACAGCGATTACCCAACGCAGCCAAAAATAAATAAGTAAATAAATTTATTTTTTAAAAAAAGAATCTAGACAATTTTATACATATCACTATAAGGCCATTATTTAAGGCCATTATAACCACATATAGATAATAAATCCTCTATTGTCTTCCATTTCTGTTTATGCTGACAGAGGAGAGTAATTTATATAGCATGTGGTTTGGGGTTTAGAATGACTACTCCCCAGGTTCCAGACCTAACTTACTCTTGAGGTTTCTTAAATGTGGTTGAAGAAATTCCATGGTTACAGCGACTATGCTTAACGACCACCTGGGGCTTGATGTGCTCAGTCTCAGGTTTACCTGTCCTCTCTGCATTCACCTGTCACCATGCTATCTGTATACATGCTTTTATATTCTCAGAGGGCAACGCTCCCTTGCAGATGCTAGTACAACAGTAATGAAGAGGTAGTCATTCTTCGGTAGGACCTTAGCCATTCTAAGGTAAATGAAAACTGAAATGCACACTTTAAAAACTTTCAAGGGCAGAGTTCTCTCTCTCTTATTCCCCAATCCCATTAAAGGAAGCATAAAAGGAAGAGAAAGGTTTCAGTGCATGCGACTGTTTCCACAAGAAGGGCCTTGGCACGGTGATGGGCAGGGAGGAGTATGTGGGCTGAAGAGGGTGTCCTAAGGGGCACAGAGCCCTCCCATCTGACCCGGTCTTCAACTCTGAGAATCCTGAGGCCACGGTTCAGGCCTTGAATCCTTCAAGGGCCCCTACGGCTCCTCCATTTGACCACAGGTTAAACTAATCTCTCCCTCAGACTTTGTGGCCCCTCTGGCCTCCACCAGGCCCGCCTCAACCTCGCGTACAGTCACTCTCTCTCATTTTCAGTCTCTTCTTTTCTACCAGGAGACATGCCCCAGAGTAAATCATTCCCTGTCGTTTCCAGAGACCTCCAAGGGATTTTCCATCATAATAATCAAAGACCAATCCCAGTGGGTTTCCCTGGGTTCCGGTTCACCCTGACTTCCGGGGCGTACTCTCTTTCTCTTGTCTCTGAGGCAGGCCAGGAGGCCGTGGTCCCCAGCGCATCTGGCGAAAACAGCTCTCCAAGGATAAGCACGGAAGTCAAGTCCCTTGAAGAGCCAGGCTGGTCTTTCATCACAGGGAAAGGAAGGGCGACTAGGCACTCAAAGGTAAGACAAGTGGAGAAGCCAGCGCCCTGGGAAACTCCTCGAGATACCCGGGAATCCCGAACCTATTCGCGAGGACCCGATGGCTCCCCAGCCCCCCTCCCCCACCTTCACCCCACCCCGCTCCAGCCCGCCCTGTCCAAACCCCTCCGGCCTCCACCTCTGAGGGCCGGCTCGCGCCCTAACTGGGGTTGCAGGATCTGCCTCGAGGCCACTTGGTCCCGCGGAGGCAGCCTAAGCTGCGTAGCCACGCCCCCCAGGGCGCGCTCTGACCAATGAGAGTTACCCCTCGCCCCCTGGGCCCCGCCCCCGCTGCGGCAGGCTGCTAACGGTTTTAACGGTCCTAACGGTTTCAACCGTTAACCATTTAATCGTGGGCCTGGCCTGCTAACCTACATTTCGCCGGGCACCAACACACCCACCCACGCGCACCTCACGAGATGGACCCTCCCACCTCCACACTCACACCCAGCAGTCCACCCACCCCTCACCAGGCATCCTTAGCCGATGAAGACCCTCTCAGTAGTCAACGAACAGTAGTTATAGATGGCTGGCTAAGTCATGAAATAGGATGAGATCACCAATGAAGGAGTATGGATGGAAAACAGATTGTATTGAGTCCTAGGACACACAACGTTTAGAGGCTTAGATGAAGAAAAAGCAGCAAAGGAGCCAGAGTGGGAGTGGTTAGGGATAGGGGAGGAACCCCAGGAGAGTGAGGTGCTGTGGAAGCCACCTGGACCATCCTTCAAAGAGGAGGAGGTTAGCTGTGTCAAATGCTGCTGATGAGTCAAGGAAAATGAGGAGTGAGAATTAATTATTGGTGACCTGGAAGGGAGCAGTTTTAGTGATGTAGTGGGGACAAAAACCTGATTGGTGTGTGGTTTCAAAAGACATTGCTGATAAAGGACTAGTATCCAAAATCTATTAAAAAACTCAACAATAAAAAAATTAAGTTGGCCGAAGAGCTAGACACCTCCCCAGAGAAGATACACAGATGGCAAATAAACATATGAAAAATGCTCAACATTATATGCATTAGGGAAATGCAAAATAAAACAGATAGCACTATGCAACTTTAAGAATTGCCAAAATCCCAGAATGCTGGAAACACAAAATGCTGGTGAGGCTGTGGAGCAACAGGAACTCTCATTTGTTGCTGATGGGAAAGCTGAATGGTACAGCCACTTTGGAAGATGTTCTGGCAGTTTCTTATAAAATTAAATATACTCTTATCATATGATCCAGCAGTCATGCTCTTTGGTATTTACCCAAAGGAGTTGAAAACTTATGCCCACACAAAAACCTGCACATGGATGTTTATAGCAGCTTTATTCATAATTGCCAAAACTTGGAAGCAATCAAGTTGTCATCTTCAGTAGGTGAATGGATAAATAAACTGTGGTACATCCAGACAATGGACAATTATTCAGGACTAAAATATCTATCAAGCTATGAAAAGACATGGAGGGAACTTAAATGCATTTTACTAAGTGAAAGAAGCCAATCTTGAAAAGGCTACATACTGCAGGATTCTAAACAGTATGACATTCTGGAAAAGGCAAAACTATGGAGATAGTAAAAAGATCAGTAGTTGCCAGGGGTTAGAGGGGGAGGGTGGGCTGAATAAGTTGAGCACAGAGGATTTTTAGGGCAGTGAAACTATTCTTTTTGATACTATAATGGTGCATACATGTCATTATACATTTGTCCAATCCCATAGAAGGAACAACACCAAGAGTGAACTCTAAGGTAATCTATGGACTTTGGGTGATAATTCTGTGTTGATTTAGGGTCAGCATTTATAATAAATGTACTATTCTGTATGTGTGGGAGCAGGAGGTATATGAGAAATCTATGGACCTTCCACTCCATTTTGCTTTGAACCAAAAACTATAAAAAAAGTCTATTAAAAAAATAAATTTAAAAAAAAGAGCAAGAGGAGAGATTTGGCATATCCATACAATGGAAAACTACTAAGCAATAAAAAGGAATGAACAACTGATAGGCACAGTGACATGGATAATTCTCAAAATAATTATGCCAAGTGAGAGAAGACAGACACACAAAAGAATACATACTGAATGATTCCACTTACATAAAGTTCTAGAAAATGCAAATTATAGTGACAGAAAGCCAAACAGCAGTTTCCTGAGTGCCATAGAGAAGGAATACTAATGGGCAGAAAGAAACTTCGGGGTGTGGATATGTTTACTACCTAGATTGTGGTTATGTTTCATAGATGTATACATAGATCAAAATGTGTCAAGTTGTACAATTTTTTTTTGTTTTTTGGCGGTGCCCCGTGGCTTGTGGGATCTTAGTTTCCTGACCAGGGATTGAACTTAGGCCCTCGGCAGTGGAAGTACAGAGGCCTAACCACTGGACTGCCAGGTAATTCCCTCTACAACTTTTTGACTTACCATTTTTAAGATTTATCTCTGTGGATTCAAGTATCTGTAGCCAGACCTACTAGAGAATGGACTTCAGGATATGGGGAGGGGGAAGGGTAAGCTGTGACAAAGCGAGAGAGAGGCATGGACATATATACACTACCAAACATAAGGTAGAAGCTAGTGGGAAGCAGCCGCATAGCACAGGGAGATCAGCTCGGTGCTTTGTGATCGCTGGGAGGGGTGGGATAGGGAGGGTGGGAGGGAGGGAGACGCAAGAGGGAAGAGATATGGGAGCATATGTATATGTATAGCTGATTCATTTTGTTGTAGAGCAGAAACTAACGCACCATTGTGAAGCAATTATACTCCAATAAAGATGTTTAAAAAAAAAGTATCTGTAGCCAATTTATAGTAACGCCATTATTTCATTGTTTGATTATAGGCCAATTTTCTCATTGTCCTCTTGATAAACATTCAGCCTGTTTATAGTTTTTCCCCTATACAGGTACAGCAATGAACATTTTTGTAGTTGTGAATACATGTGAGAGGGGATCCCCAGGGTTACTATACTAATAGGGTGGACTTTCTGGCTAGTAGGGCTTGTGCCAGTGACAAAGCCCTACTGACTCTTTCCTGTTTTTGAACTTTTCGTTGGCAGAGTTTTAGAGGCTAATCGCCAGCTTCTTTGGGTTAGTAAAAGGAGTGAACTGTTCATGTCCCTGTGTTATAAATGAGAGAGACAATAATCTGCCCAAGGCTAGCTTGGGATGGAACCATGGTGTCAGATACTTTCATGCTGCTTCTTTTGCTCCTCTGTTATGCTCTCTCCTCCTTCACTTGGGCCCTTGTAACATTCACCAACATTTGCCACCAGTTAGTGTTCCCAGTCACCACAAACTCCTGAGAAGTTGATAGAGCCTTATTCTGAAGCAGCATTTTTATCCTAAGAGCTACCAGCCCCTTTAGCATTTCTTCTAACTCCATGAAATATGTTATAAATTTATATCCCTGGCAGTATGGTTGCAGTTTAAAAAATGCAGGATTTGCCTTTAAAATATTCGCTATTTCATTGACTGTGAGTTCATCAGACTCCACTGTGGAGCCTTATATGTTTATATAAGAACTCTCCCAAGCTGTTAATGCTGAGGGACAGATTTCTCTCAGAGAGAAGTAAGAATAGAGCAGGAAGCACAAAGGGGTAGCAGGCGGGGCTCTGCCTCAACAATCAGGAGCATTGTGTAGTCACAACATCCCTTTGTCACTAAGCAACAAGAAGTTGACCTGCTGAGATGCTCTTTCTCCAGAAGTAACCTCAAAAAGACAAGAGGAAAGTTTGCCTTTTCTGCTCCTTTCCCAGAAAGATGCAAAGTGCTTTAGTAGGCTCCTGGGTAAGAGTGTACTTTACATTAATCCTAGCCCCTGGCCCTGGGGTAGTACCTGAAATATGAATTACTCATGAGAGTAAAGTGAGAATGGTTTCATCCAGCATCCAGGCTAGAGGAGGACCCCAAACTGCCCACTCCCCCTCTGCCATTATGAGGTCCCCCTACAGCTTATCTAGTCTTCCTGACACCACGCCCTCTTCCATGTGTCCTGGTCTCATGCCTGGATTAGCTGATCCTCTTAGTCCTCTAGCCACCCCATTTATTCCCAGTCCTTTGTTTGATCCCCCCAAACTTCTGTAGTTTGACTGCTCTCTAGACTGGGAACATCTTGAGGCTAAAGACTGCCTTCTTCTATCTGTATGTCCCATGCCTGCAATACAGTAAAGGCCCAGTAAATACTGTTGAAATAAACTGAATAGAGAGAAAGGAGTGTTTGACAATAGTAGAAGGATGGACAGATGAGTTGGATGACCCAAGCCCTCAGTGGGATGAAAAGATAAAGGGCTTCCCAGGCACGCTTAGGAGCCCACTTTGATGGCCAGAGGCCAGCTGGGAACAGGTTCTTTCTGCTCAGGACTATGATCATGGCGTGGACTAGACCCATTGTCCTCTCCAGGGGGTATTCAGGACAGTGAGGTTGGGCCATAAGAGTTCCCAGGCCAGACATGGTCATCCATGTTGTCAGCCTAATGACATCAGCACAGTACAGCTTCTTATACCCCCAATAGGTGCTCATTTCTGTCTTCTGACAGTCCTTGTCTCTGAAATTCTCTCCAGAAGGTATCCACTGTTGGTGAGGTACTTCTTTGGGAAAGTTCATCCTTTGTTTAAGTGCTCCAGTTTCAGAGGGTGCCCTACTTGCCCCAGAATAACAAAGTGTGTAGCAAACAGGTGTTCGTGACTTTGTCAATAGATGCAGAATATGTATCCATTTAATCCTGGCTTTTCAGTGACCTTTGACCTCTATTAACAATGCAGGGAAGACAATGAAGGGGACTTCCTCTCAGATCCCCCAGGGAAGGACCACGCTACTAGATGGTGGCCCTGTTCTCAAAACTCTGCTCAGTGCTTCCTAAGTCACCCCAACTCAGAACCTGTCTGGTCCCCTTCCCTGCTGAAGTCTTCCCTTGCTCTTGGAAGAGAATCCATATTCCTAACCCAGTCTAGGTCCTGTCCCTCCCTGACCTCACCTTACTTCTCCTTGTCTTGCTCACAGCCTTTTAGTCAATAAGGCCTCTTTTTTTTTTTTTTTTTCGGTTCTTCCAACACAACTCTGTCTCTGGCCTCTGAATCTTTGCACTTGCAGTTCTCACCACATAGAATGCTCTTCTGCTGCCCCTCACATGGCTGACTCCTTCAAGTACCACACCCATTGTCATGAGATGCTGTCCCTACTCCCTGTCACTCGATCTAGTCATCAGGTTCTTTCTTTCCTGACTCTATTCACTTGTCTTACTCCCTCACCAGAAGGAAGGTTGATAGAAGCAGGGTCTTTCTGTCTTTTCACTGCTGTGTGTGTCCCCAGCCCATATTAGGACCCTATTGAAGAAAGAAAGAGAGAGAGAGAGAAAGGAAGGAAGGGGGGGAGGGAGGGAGGGAGGAAGGAAGGAAGGAAGGGGAGGGAGGGTGAGAGGAAGGAGGGGAGGAAGGAAGGAAGGCACCCTTTCCTTACAGACATAACCCTCCCAGGTGGGCCAGCACAGCTGAGGCCAACTGTTCTAATGGTGGATGGAGACACCTCTCTGTTGGCCCCTCTCCAGGGTGTCCCTCCTCCTCTGATTCTTTTTATTCTGTCAGGAACTCCCAGGAGAGGCTTCTAGCCTGGGGGCTCTGAGGTCTAGGACTCAGGGTGGGGGTTGGGGTGGGATTCACCCTCAAGCCTGCCTTGTTACAGCACAACAGTGGCTTCTATGGGCACTACAGAGGCCAATTCAAGAGTGAAAGTGCTCGAGAATATCGCCTTGCAGCCAAGCCCCAGCCCCCAGCAGTGTTCCTGCAGCGCTGTCAGGTACGAGGCAGCCCTGGGTGCAGCTGCCACGGCTGAGCCAGATTCTGCTTCTCTCAGGCCCCAAGAGCAATATCCTCAACCTTACCACAACTGGACTGACACTTGAGGCCAGCCTATCCCCGGGACTTGCATGAGGCCTGGCCCCTCTTCCCTGAAATATCAGGTCCTCCCCCTACAGATACATGGGTGGAGAAGAGCCAGTACCAGGCTGGACAATTTTGCTCACTGCTCCTTCTAGATGGAGGAAGAGTCAGGGTCCAGGTGGGGTGGGTGGTCATGGTGAGAGAGCCTCCAGAACCCAAGAAGTAAGCCTTGAGTTTTGCAGACGGCTGTCCTTCAGCACAGATTCCTTGATGCCATGAAAGTCAATGGTCTAGCTCACAGTCAGCCTCGTAGTCCAGGGGCTCAGGAGTGGGTAGGAGGCCTCCTCTGGTCAGTAAAACAGCATAGAAAGTGGCAGGTGTCCACCCCCATGCCTAACCAAGGAGGACTGGAAAGGAGTGATGGCAGAATCGGCCTAGGGTGGCTGGAAAAGGCTTCCAGATAACAGGAGAGGGATGCAGGGCTGCAGGCCCTCCACTGCTTCCAGGCCTGGAGACAAGGAGGGGACACTGAGCATAGTCAGGGTCCCAAAAGTAAAAAGCCCACTCAAAACAGAACTCAGGAGGGTATACATATAAAGGAGTAGGTGTGGGAGCTTCAGGGAAAGGCATTCTCACAGGATGGTAACAACCAAGTGGTCAGTACTGCTGGGCCTTAAGGAACAAGGGGAAGGCATGGCTCCTAGAACCCAGATGGAGAGAGTGGTATGGAGAGGGCTCTCCTGAGAGAAGTGGTGATTTCGGGTAGAGAGACACAGCCAGGTAGGGGCGGGCCTGGAAGGGAGCCAGGAGAAGAAACACCTCCTCCCTCCTTCCCTCCATCTCCTTTCCAGGCTTCCTTTCAGGTCAGAGGGAAGTCAACCTGGTGAGAAGTGTGCTCACATCAGACCCCTGGGAAAGGTCAGGGTGGAGGAGGGCTGAGAGGGACCTGGAAGTGTGCCTGGAACATGCTCCGCCCACTGCAGCTTCTTGTTTCCCAGCCTCTAGCCAGGTCCTACTTGACTGGCCATCTGGATTCTCTACAAATTGCTTTCCCAGGCCAAGAGCAGGGTCTTGGAGTCTGCCATGCTACAGAGCCTAAACTTCCTTAGCATGCCCAGTTGGAATGGCTGCCTGGTACTGCCTACTGAGCAAGGCCCAAATGCAGCTCCAGACTGCTCGTCTGGGGCCACCTCCCTTGAGAGAGTGATGAGATCTGCCTAGTACAGGGACAGAGGTAACCTGGGCACTTCCTGCTGGGTGTCTGTAGTAGTCCTCAGTGGCAGCCCTCATCCCAAAGACCTGAATGTCCTCTTAGTCTGTCCCCCAGGGACAGAGTAGAGGATATATTTGGGGACATGTTTTGATTGAAGTGAAGTCTTGTTACATGTTGGCATTATCAGCAACCCCAAAATAGCATGGTCTGTGTATCTTGGGCTTAGGTTGTACAAATGCCAAGTCTGACCCTTTCTAGATCTAAAGCCGTTTTAATTAGTGGGACTACTCAGGGAAGGTGCACATTCTTTTTTCTTATTTGCTGAGAGATACCAAGTGTCAGCGGGCTGACTGCAGCTATTCTTGTTGAAAACCTTTCCAAGATGTAGCAGCCACTTACCTTTAGTTTGGGGCAGGTAGAAATTTTGTCATTCAGATGCAAGAAGATTCTTTTTTCTTTTTATTCTTCTTTTTCTTTTTTTCTTCTAAACCAGATTAGTTTATTTCTAGCCTTCACCTGTCTGACTCTTGGGGAATGTAATCCTGGTCTTGTTTGTTCTTAAGGTCAGGCCAGAGTGCCAGGGCTCATGGTTGGAGGCAGGTCCTTCGTTGGTGGTGCCGTGATTGCTGTGTCTCTGCCTCTGCCCCACCCCCCACCATGCCTCAGTCTGCCACAGGGACTCCTCACTCAGTACCCCACTAATTGCACACTGCCCAGCCTCCAGAGAGGCCCTTAGTCCTCCCACAGACAAACATTGACCCATCCCAGGAAACCTACTTCTCTTCCAAGGCCTCTTTAGCTCAAACCCTAGCCCAAGCCCTACCTGCTCAGAGACCACGGATTTTACCACCTGAGTGGAAAAGGAGCTTTAGATGGTTTAGAAGCAAAGATGCAGGTGAAATTCTCCTCAGGGACAAGAATACTTAGAACTGCCTGGGTGGAGAGGAAATGACTGCACTTTTCACTAGACTCCCACAGTTGTGAGAATAAAACTCAAGTCAGTGGGAGTCGATAGATTATCCTGTCACTGTAAGAATAGTGAGTTTCCAAATTCAGACCTGCCTCCAACAGCAGAGGCATCCACATTCTAGGGCTGTGTACAATTTTAAAGCTAAGGGTAGAGATGGGGGAGGGATTGGGGGGGCAACTGGAACATGCCCCAGACCTCCAGATTTTTTAATTGAAATTTTTTTTGAGATGGTTGTAGATTCAGAAACAGTTGTAAGAATTAGTAAAGAGAGATCCCTTTTACGCTTTGCCCAGTTTCCCCCAATGGTAACGTTTTGCATATCTATAGTAAAATATCACAACCAGGACGCTGACATTGCTGCAGTCTACCTATTTCATTCAGATTTCCTCATTTGTGTGTGCGTATTAAGATCTATAAAATCTTGGAATTCTCTGGTGGTCCAGTGGTTAGGACTTCACGCTCTCACTGCTGAGGGCCTGTGTTCGATCCCTGGTCAGGGAACTAAGACCCCACAAGCCACGTGGCATGGCCATAAAAACCCATAAAAATCTATAAAATCTTTTTAAAATTAATTTTAATAACAGTATAGCTGATTTACAATGTTGTGTTAGTTTCTGCTGTATAGCAAAGTGAGTCAATTATACATATACATATATCCACTCTTTTTTAGATTCTACTCCCATATAGGTCGTTAAAGAATATTGAGTAGAGTTCCCTGTTCTATACAGTAGGTTCTTATTAGTTATCTATTTTATATATAGTAGTGTGTATATGTCAATCCCAATCTCCCAATTTATCCATTCCCCCTGCTTTCCCCCTTGGTAACCATAAGTTTGCTTTCTATATCTGTGACTCTATTTCTGTTCTGTAAATAGGTTTATTTGTACAATTTTTTTAGATTCCACATATAAGTGATATCACATGATATTTGTTGTTCTCTGTCTGACTTACTTCACTCTGTATGACAAGTTCTAGTTCCATCCATGTTGCTGCAAATGGCATTCTTTCTTTTTATGGCTGAGTAGTATTCTTTATCCATTCTTTATCCACATCTTCTTTATCCATTCCTCTATTGATGGGTATTTAGGTTGCTTCCATGTCCTGGCTATTATAAATAGTACTGCAATGAACATTGGGGTACACGTATCTTTTTGAATTATGGTTTTCTCCAGATATATGCCCAGGAGTGAGCTTGTTGGATCATATGCTAGCTCTATTTTTAGCTTTTTAAGTAATCTCCATACTGTTCTCCATAGTGGCTGTTACCAATTTAAATTCCCACCAACAATGTAGGAGGGTTCCCTTTTCTCCGCATCCTCTCCAGCATTTATTGTTTATAGATTTTTTCATGATGGCCATTCTGACTGGTGTGAGGTGATGCCTCATTGTAGTTGTGATTTGCATTTCTCTAACAATTAATGATGTTGAGCATCTTTTCATGTGCCTCCTGGCCATCTGTATGTCTTCTTTGGAGAAATGTCTATTTAGATCTTCTGCCCATTTTTTGATTGGGTTGTTTGTTTTTTTGATATTGAGCTGCATGAGCTGTTTGTATATTTTGGAGATTAATCCCTTGTTGGTCACTTCATTTGCAAGAGAAAAAAAAAGATCTATAAAATCTTATCACCCGTGTAGGTTTGTGCATCCACCACCACAGTCAAGATACTGACCAATATCACAAGGATCCCTGGTCCTGCCCTTTTATACCCATCAGCCTCTCATTCCTCCACCCTTCCCCTGTCCCTAACTGCTATTTTTCCTCCATTTCTAAAATTTTGTGACTTCAGAAACGTTATGTGAATGGAATGATACAGCATGCAACCTTTGGGGAATGGCTCTTCTTGCTCAGCATAATTTCCTGAAGATTCCTCCAAGTTGTGTGTATCAACGGTTCAATTTCCATTACTGAGTAGTATTCTGTGGTATGTATATAGCAGTTTACTTAACCATCCATCTATGAAAATGTATCTGGGCTGATTCCAGTTTTTACCTCTTACAAATAAAGTTGCTATGAACATTTGTGTACAGGTTTTTGGGTGAACATAAATTTTCATTTCTTTGGAATAAATACCTGGGAGTGCAATTGCTGGGTCATATGATAGTTGCATTTATTTATTTATTTTTAATATTTTATTTATTTATTTGGCTGCACCGGGTCTTAGTTTCGGCACACAGGATCTTCGTTGCCACGTGAGGGATCTTTAGTTGCAGTCTGCAGGATCTTTTTTTAGTTGTGGCATGCGGGATCTTTTTGTAGTTGCAACATGCAGAATCTTTTAGTTGCGGGCATGCGGACTCTTAGTTGCGGCATGTAGGATCTTGTTCCCTGACGAGGGATAGAACCTGGCCCCCTGCAATGGGAGCTCAGAGTCTTAGCCATTGGACCACCAGGGAAGTCCCCGTAGTTGCATTTAAGTTGTTTGTCTGGTTTTTTAATGTGGATGGAAATTTTTTTTAATTGAAGGAAAGATTCTTTAAATTCTATAGCACTTTACAATTTTGAAAAGTTTCACACACGATTTCATATAATCCCATAATAACTTTTTTTCTCCTACCCCTATATTGTACCTCCTGCATGTTAAGTTTTTTTTTTTTTTTAATTGTCAAACTGTTTTCCAGAGTGGCTGTTTTACATTTTACATTCCCACCTGCATTGAGCAAATGATTGTATTTCTCTGCATTCTCACCAACATTTGGTGTTGTCTCTATTTTTTATTTTAGCCATTCTGATTGATGTGTCATGATAGCTCACTGTGGGTTTTTTTTTTTTTTTTTTTTTTTGAGTGTGTTGGGTCGTCATTGCTGTGCGCAGGTTTTCTCTAGTTGTGGTGAGCGGGGGCTACTCTTTGTTGTGGTGTGCGGGCTTCTCATTGTTGTGGCTTCTCTTGTTGTGGAGCACAGGCTCTAGGCACGCAGGCTTCAGTAGTTGTGGCTTGCAGGCTCTAGAGCGCAGTCTCAGTAGTTGTGGCACACGGGCCTAGATGCTCCATGACATGTGGGACCCTCCGGGGCCAGGGCTCGAACCCGTGTCCCCTGCATTGGCAGGCAGACTCCTAACCACTGCACCACCAGGGAAGCCCTCTCACTGTGGTTTTAATTTGCATTTCCCTAACGTTCAGTGATGGTGAACATCTTTTCATGTGTTATTTGCCATCTGTATATCCTCTTTGAAGAAATGTCTTCATGTTGTTTGCCCATTTTCTAATTGGATTTTTTATTTTGCTGTTCAGTTGTAAGAGTTCTTTATACATTCTAGATACTAGTCCTTTATTGGATATGTGATTTGCAAATATTTTCTCTCAGTCTGTAACTTGTCTTTTCATCCTCTTCACATGGACTTTCACAGAGCAAAACTTAAAAAAAATTTTTGATGAGGTCTAATTTATTGATTTTTTTTTCTTTTATGGCTCTTGCTTTTGGTGTCACATCTAAGAACTCTTTGCCTAGCTCTAGATTCTGAAGATTTTCTATTTTTTTCCTAAAAGGGCTCTGGGTTTTTAATCTCTTGTGTCAGTTTGCTTTATGAGGAATGAAAGGTAAGGCCAGCTGGCTTCCTACCTTCATGGAGCTTTCATTCGATTTGGAGAACACCGGCTGTCTAAGGCAGGAGGTCCCAATAGGGGAGCTCGTTAAAGGCTCCACCCCGAAGATTCTGGTTCAGGGATCTGGGATGGAGCTAGCCCCTGACTTTTATCTAGCAACTTATTGTCAGCCATTGCTCATACCTCAACCCAGCCAAGATTGGACTCACCAGATCAGGTACTTCATTCTGGTCTGCAGCAGAAGAAGCTGAGTGGCTGAGGTGGAGGGACCCTGGGGGCAGAGACCAGGCACAAAGGCAAGGTGGACGGTCTTGGGAGAGATTCCTGCTGAGGTCTAGGGGCCTGAGAGGTGGTCTCTCTCTGCCTGGGGATGGGGCATGGCTCTCTGGTCCCAACTGGGCTAAAGCAAATGCCCTGGGGATCTTCTGTCCCTGTTCACTGATTTAACAGCAAATATGTATTGAGCACAGTGCCAGGCTCAGTGTTGGAGTTATAGATGTGAGTAAAACAGACAGTAACCTTGCCCATGAGGTGCTTGTGTTCTAGTCAGGGGCATCGGATGGTAAACAGCAACATAATACATAGTAATACAGTATGTTAGAAGGTGAAAAATGCTGGCTTGGGGTGATGGGACTGCTGGTGTAGTAGTGGTCAAGGAAGGCCTCCCAAGAGGTAGGTGAGAGGGAGTCATGGCCAGCTGGGAGAAAAGTCCCAGGCAGAAGTAACTGGTAGTACAAAGGTCCAAGATGAAAGTAGCTAGTGTATTTGAGGAACAGTGAGGACGCCAGTGTGGCTAGAGGTAATGGAGGAATCAATATCATGTGGATCTCATGGACCACTATGATGACTTTGACTTTTATAAACATGAGGAACTGTTGTGGATTTTTGGCAAACAAGGAGTGTGATCTGATTTACATATTAAAAGAGTTATTCTGCCTTCTAAGAGGACAATAAACTGGAGAGGCAAGCTTGGAAGTAGGGGCACCAAGTGGGAAGCTCTTGCAGTAATTGAGGCATGAGGGGAAGGTGGCTTAGACCAGAGAAAGCAGCGGCTATGCTGAGAAGTGGTCTGATCCTGAGTACATATTGAAGGAAGTATCAGCAGGATTTCCTGGCACACTGGATGTAGAGTGTGAAAGAAAAGAATCAAGGGGACTCCGAGGTGTTTGGCAAGATCTAGCTGCCATGACCTGAGCTGGGGGAGGCTATAGGTGGGGTGGTTTTGGGGAATGATCCAGAGCTCAGCCATGTGTTTGGAGATGCCCGTTAGACATTTACATGGAAATATGGAGCAGGTGGTTGGCTAGTGAGTCTGGAATTCGGGAGAGAGCTCAAGCTCTAAAGAGAAATTTCAGTTTCCAGGTGGTATTTAGGGCCAAGAGGCTGGGTTGCTGTTGAGAGAGTGAAAGAGAGGAGGAGAGAGCTGGAGCCTAGTCCTGGATGATCTAAAGGACCCAATGTGAAACTTAAACCACTGCCCCACTAACGGCAGGATGTCCTGGAAAATGCCTCAGCCCCTTCCTCAATCAGTGGCCCCAGAGGCTTCTGCTTTGAGAGCAAGTGCTGGGATGAGACGTTCCAGGAATGAGGTGTTGCTTTAATTTTTATCTGCCCTTTCAGTGTGTTGGCAGTTTAGCAGTTTAAGGGTGGTGGCTCCTGGCAACTTCCCTCCATTATGGGGCCCTGAGTTAGCATCTTGGGGACAGGTAAGCATCATCTTTCCCCATTCACCTTCTTTTTCACTGTCTTTCTAGGAGCCAGCGCAGCAACATTTCTTCTCCAAGCATGACAACCGCACTTCCTTTGACAAAGTGAGTGCTAGAGAGAGGAAGGAAAATGGGCAGACTCCCAGCCTAGGTTGAAGTTGAGGTAGGGTGGAGGGGATAAGACATTGCAGGGAGAGAGGGCTCTTTATACAGACAGAGGAGTGTCTGTCTTCCTGACAACCTCTTTCTTCTGGGAAACAGCCCATTCTACAAACAGATGTACCTCTGCTTTGGTTTCCCCCACCAGCTTGCCTGACAATGTGCAAATATCTTAGGAACCACTGACTTTCTGGGGGCTTCATTCACTCTGGAATGGAAGGCATGACTGGGGATGCAGGCCAAAGAGGCTGGGGTCCAGGCCAGGGAGGCCAGGCACAGGCCAGGCATCACCAGGCAGGCTTGGGTATAGGAGGGGCCCAAGGAATTGCCTGGTGCCAGGACTGTGGGCCAAGGGCCCGTACCATTGAGGAGGGCCCCTCCTGCCTGCTACAGGGAATCGGAAGGCGGAAAGACCTGGAGCGCCTGTGGCAGCAGCACACCTTCCTGCGCTGGGTACCCTGTGAACTGGAGTTGCGCCAGCCACGGCCCCTTGAATCCTCCTACCAGGCTGATTTCCGGTCAGGGCCAGGACTCAGTGACCTCCCCCAGCGCCTTGTCCACTTTGTGCAGATCCAGCCTTCCCATGCCAGCACCACCTACCAGCAGAACTTCTGCCAGCCATCCCGTGGTAGCCATTGTGGCAGTGACAACATGGGGCCCCAGGCCCCAGTCACCAACACACTGCCTGACCTCCCAGGGATCCCAAGACCCAAGCTGCTGCAGCATTACCTTCATGCTGGGGTCTCTGAGTGTCTAAACTGGTCCAGAACATTAAACAAGGACAGCTAACTCAGTGGCCTGTCTGTGCTTGCAGCCCAAGAGATCTCAGAGGCTGGAGAACAGTAAGGCACAGCCAGGCCCTGCGCCTGGCTCCTATGTTGCTTGTGCCATGGAGCCTTGTGCAGCCTTGTGCTGGTTGGGGGAGGTGCTGCCTGGGGAGTCTTGCCAGTGAGTGAGAAGAGGTAAGGCCTGCAGGAGGCTAATGGTCCAGGAGGGTTACCTTGGCCACAGCAGGTGGGTTCCAGGACCCCAAATCCATTCTTGCCACAAACTCAACTGTGAACCCCTTGCAATCAGTACGGCTGCAGGGAAAGCAGAGTCAATGGTCCCTACTAGTGGGCAGCAAAGACTGGAGGAGGAGGCAAGGGCTGGCAGCTTTGCTTTTTCTGGGATGCTACTGCCTCTAGGGGTCTGGTGAGTGGCAACACAGTCATGCCTAAGAGACAGCTTCACCACAGCTGGGACAGAGGGACAGCCCCCACTGGACACACACCCCCCACCACCACCACCGGAGGTGAGCAGAGGCTTTGAGGATGCTGTGTGATGTGAATCTTGAGGTCATCCTGATCCTATGGTATTTTGTTGCAGTTTTCTGAGCTCTTCTATGGTCTTGCTGTGAGTGCCCTCTAACAGCCAGGGCAATAGGGGATGGGGGTCATCCTACGTCACCAACAGAGAACTGAGGCTTAAGTGGGACTAAGACACCAGGACACTTTGGGGGCAGAGGCCAGGTCCTAAAGGCTCCTCTAGACCCTCATCCCTTGAGAAAGTTGAGGGCCAGGGGCTCAGGGGCAACGCAGAAGTCCACACCAGAGACCATAAGCCAGATTTAGCAGCACTTTTACTTCCACATCTGAACTCCCTGGATCCTCACAACAGCCCTGTGAGGTAGGTAGGGCAGGAAGGTTTCAGAGATCCCCATTTATAGATGAGGATGCTGAGGCACAGAGAGGTGAAATGACTTGCCCAAGGTCACACAGCCAGCAGTGTAAAGGGCCCAAAGCCACCATTCTTCTGGCCCTTTGGAGGTCCCCACATCCACTCCTGTACCCCTCTGTGTTCCCACCCTCTCTTACCTCTTGAGTCCACAAGGGCCTTCAAGGCAGGCTGACAGCTAGGACTTTTCAGGAACAGCCATTGGGGAGGGCCTGATCAACTCCAGGTAGGCACTGACCTGTGGGGCAGGAGGCCAGCTCTGCCCTCCCCCACTTCCCAGTTGGACAGAGGGCCCAGTAGGTTCCAGAGCAAGGGTGGAGCTGGGCATGGTCCGTGAATGAAAGGGAGTAAAGGTGGGTGTAAAGGTATGTGTGTCCTTTGCTAAAGATGAAGGCCACCCCCAAGTCCCAGACACGGTGTCTCAAGTGCCCCACCCTGTGCCTCCCTCATCCCACAGAGCCACAGTGAGCTTTCTCAGCAGCAAAAGGAACCACAGACATCTGCTTCTGGCACTGAACTGCTCCAGTGGACAGGTCCCATCAGGCATTCAGACCCCATCACGCAGACACAGTGCCTCCACAGCTTGACTGGGACCCTGGGCCACACCCCCGATGGCAAACAGCCGGGGCCCAGCCTGCAGACTAGAACAGGAGCAGCGGGCCGTAGGCATGGCAGGCAGTGCCTCCCAGCGCCGCCGTGCAAGGCTGAAGCCCTCCACAGAGCCCAGAGGGCACGGCTGGTTTCCTGCAGGAAGAAGACAGATGTTGTAAAGGGCGCAGGCTGCAGGGGCTCCAGCTCTTTTTCTCCCTGAGCTCAGAGCATGGCCCAGCATGCATTACCCCAGGATGGGCTATCCATGCATTGCTACTCATTGCCCCCATTTCATCACTCATTCATTTATTCATTCACATTTCTATTTCTCCATTCATTCAGTGGTCATTTGTCCTGTTTTTATCTCCTAGGCCCCTGCTGGTACAGAACCCACAGTTAGGTGCTGAGAGACACCCCAAAAGCTGAGCCAGGCAGACCACCCATTGACTGTTTTACAGATTGGGAAAGGGAAGCTCACAAAGCCCTGACCCCTGGAGTACCTAGAGAAGGGCAGGAGGTGGTGCTCACGCAGGGGGCTACTCTTTCCTGTCTTGGGCTCCCCTCCTATCCCTAGCCCCACAGAGACTCACCAAGGCCCCCAATGGCCACGATGTGGTCCCCAAGTGAGCCAACCACAAAGTCGGCCCTCTTATCCCTCATGCGCAGGCTTCGGGGCAGCTTGGTCCAGGACCCTGCAGGGGAGGGGAGGTCAGATCTAGCCCCCTCACACACACTGCACCCCTCCATCCCATGGAGAGTGGGAGAATAGCCCAGACCAGCCACTGCTCACCATGCTCCAGGTCGAACATCTCCACAGTGTTGACAAAGTGTGGGCGGGAGTAGAAATTGTGGGGCCCGGGCTGCTGCAGGCCACCCAGGCTAAAGACGCTGCCTTCGGCCATCACGCAGCCGGCAAAGGCCCGGCGGCTGGGCAGGCTTGGGTGTCGGGTCCAGGTACAGGCCTCCAGATCAAAGGCCTCAAAAGCAGTCACTGGGAGCTTGCCCTGGCGGCCCCCTGCCAATGGAATTGGGGCACCTGGGAGGCAGCCCAGGAGGCCTGGCAGCCTCTTCCTTTACCAGGTTGCTGAGCCTTTACCACTGCCCACCCCAGCTACTCATACCCAGCTGTGTGCACACCAGAGCACAGATCAACCGCAAAGATCCTTAGGCACTGGGGTTTGGTTTTCCAGCCTCAGCAGGACCACCAGAGGTCAGAGCCTCAGAGCAACCCTGGCTCAAACCAACAAAACTTCTCTTGTCCCACCATCCCAGATTAAGCTTGATCCCAGCCAACCTATAATTTTCCACATCCCCAGGTCCTTACCCAGGACATAGATCTTGTTCCCGTTCAGGAAGGTGGAGGCCCCGTAGCAGGGTGTGGGCATCGAGGGCAGCGAAAGCCAGCAGTCCCGGCGGGGTTCATACACCCGAACCTGGGCCTGGGGGGTTGTGTCAGGGCCCATTCCCCCCAGTGCATACACCATACCATCTGCGGAGAAAAGAGTAATACAGACTATCCCTGGACCTGGCCACAGCACTCCACCCTGACAACAGCCCTGGTCAGGGCTGGAGGTGGCTTAGGACAAACCTATTTATGGTACCCCTCCCTGGCAGCAGAAACCCTCCTGCCTGCCTGGAGTGGGGGCTGGGAGAGCTAGGATTCCCACTCTGGCCAGGGCCCCTTCAAGTGAAGAGCAGGAGGCAGCCAATCTAATTATAAGCCGTCTCTGTCTCCCTGGAGACGCTATGGCAACCAAGTCTGGCATCCAAGCAGGACTGGTGGTCAGACCTGGAGGCCACAATGTAGGGACTCTCACGGGGGAAGGAGAGTGGGGGATGGTTTAAGCCAGGGGTGGGGGTCATATGGAGATCTGTTCAGCATGGAGCTCAGACTGGAGAGGGGGCTCTGGGGATCAGCTGGGGGGCTGGGAGAGGAGCTTGGGCCTGCAGGATGGGGGTGCTGTCCACAAGCCTTCTGCCAGCACTTCTGTACCCTGCCCTTTCACTAGAGTAGGTTCTTGCCCTGTTATACTCTCAGGGTCAGCTAGGGGAATGTGTGGGGGCCTTGGGCAGACAGCCAGTTAGCTAGGGGCTTCCATGGCAACTGCCTCCAGGCCAGCTTGGCTTTTGTCCATTTCAGTCTCCCTGGTTTGTTTGTGTGGTGCGAGGAATTTAAGCACTTGCCGGGCTCTGAGCCAAGGCCCTGCTCCCATCCCCCTCTCCCAGACTATTTATAACTGTGGGAGTCATTGGGCCACCCCTTCTTGTCTCTTACAGAGGAGGAATGGGGCAGGGAGGTGGCTTGGGCCTCCCATCATGCTGGTGGCTAGCCTGGGCTCTGACTCCCACCTCACAGCTGGAAAAGGCAGTTTAGGCTGCTGCTAGCCCAGCTCAGAGCTAGGTAGGGAAGGGTACAAGAAACAAAGCCATGTCCAGGGCACCCAGGCAAAATTTACAGCTCTTGCCCAATCTCTGAAGGTAAGGGACCAAGTCAGGAAAGAATGGAGGGTGTTGGGGCACCTGAGGGACCTTCCTTGGAAGGCCACTCACCTCTCTCCACAGTTGCAACCCCCATGGCTGCCTGAGGTAGGGTAGCCCGACGCTCCCAGCGGCCCTCATCAGCCAGGAAGGCCTCCACAGCAGCTACCGGGCTCTGGCCCTCATCCACACCGCCCACCACTAGCACCTGCTTGCCCAGTACCACAGCAGCCGCACCAGCCCGGGCAGTGAGCAGGGGCGCCAGTGCCAGCCACGTATGTGAGGCCATGTCCAATGTCTCGGCAGTGTCCAAAGGCAGTCCAGCTCGGCCACAGCCCCCCAACACTAGCAGGTGCCCATCCTGGTATGCCACTGTACCATATACCCGGCAGGTGGGCATGGGTGGGAACACCTGCCAAGCAAAGGCCCGGCCACCTCCTGTAGCCATGGTGTTCACCTCCAGTGGCAGGCCATGCTATCTGCTCAGGCTGCAGGCCTCACTGAAGGGCATGATGGGGCCACATCTTGACTCTACCAGGGCTACAAGGGAGTGTGGGGCCAGTCCAAGGACTTTGCTTTCACCTAGAGAAAAGAGGGAAAACAAAGGGTCAGAGCCACTGACCAGCCCCTCAGGGTACAGATGAGCAGCCTGGGCCAAAATTGCTGGTGGGAAAAGCAGAGGGAAGACACACCTCCACTGCCTAGCACACTGATGTGGAGGTCCTCCTGGAGTGGGAAGGAGGGCAGTCTCCCAGTTACCCAGGCAACTTCCTGACTTGCTATGGGGCTTGAGGGATTCTCCTCCCATACTTTGCCCTCACCTAGTTGCTCCCCGGTTGAATCTAGGTCTAGGTGGGAGGTAAGGTGACTAGAATAGGACTTTCCACCCTAGCCCCCCCCCCTTCCCTTTGCCTCAACAATCCTCACCCTGGTGTTCTGCATCAGTGGAGTTTTACTGTACCCTTCCCCCTACTGGCTTCCAGTGTGCTCTGGGCAGCCATCAGGGTCTCCAACCTGCTGCCAGGGATCAGAGTCCAGGGTATCCTTAAAACCCCTTTGGGAGCCATTCCATAGACTGCATACATTCCCACCAGCAAAGGCCAAGATCAGAGTGTTTGAGACTGGGAGGGGAGGGGCTGGAGGCCAGAGTCCCACATTTCCCCTCAAGATCTACCCTCAGGGGTTTGCCCATGCCAAGTCCCCAGAGGCCTGCCTTCTTGGTGTCTGGGACGGGGAGGGGGATGATTTTTGGGAACCCACGAGCACTGGACTCTAGGTTCCCAGAGTCCAGGGCGTTGCCAGCAGAAATGGGCAGCTGGACTTAACAGATTCCAAGTTCCCTGGCTTCTCCTTTCCCGCGGGGAGGCACGCTCCTGGGACCCCTGGCGCGAGGGCCTCCTGGCGCGAGGGCCTCCCGGCCCCAAACTTCCAGCTCGCGGAAGGGGGGGCGGGTCCGAGCGAGCGCGCTTGGGGCTCTACACCCCGCGCCCTAAACTTCCCCTGAGCGCGGCTCCCGCGGGACTCACCGGCCGGGGCTCCGGCGCCGCCGGGGCGCAGGGTCCGCGGTTCCGGTTCCGCTGGTGCCTGCTCTGGCTGGGTCTGAGGCCGGGCTCCGGCGGGGCTCCGGTGGGGCTCCGGCGGGGCTCCGGCTCTTCTCCGGCGCGGGGCGGGGCTGGACAGGGTCCGCCCCTCGTCCCCCCTCCCGACTCGGGAAAACCTCCCCCCTGCTTTAACCCCGCACCTGCCGTGGCCGGAGCAGGGCGCGCCGACCCATGGTCACACGGAAACCGGTGAACATACAGACGGACATGTGGACGCTGGGCCTGCCCAGGATTTGGGGTCCGACCTCGGACTGGGGGAGAAAGGAAGAAGCGGTGGGCCGCACGACACGTGTATGGTGGGGGCCGTTCTCAGCAGGACCCAGCCTGCGAGCACCGGCGAAGGGGCGGGCCAGCAGAACCTGGGGGCTTGAGAAGGGGGCGCCTGCCCACCACCGCTGCGCTCCGAAGAGCCCACGACAGGCTTCGCGGCGGCGCCCCCTGGAGGCCTCTTAGGGTATGTCCTGGGCCTTTGGTGGGGGCAATGGCTCGGTCGCCCTTCCCCAAGCACGGATGAGGGCACAGAACAGGTTCTGTGGTGCACATTGAGGGTAGCAGAGGGTGGAGGAGCAGAAAGTGCCAGCCTCCGTACTTGACAGGCCCTTCCACAGGCATGGGTGGGGGCAATTTTTGTGGGGGAGGGTAACAGAGCAGGTGATGAAGAGTCAGAGGCCAGGGGACCTCCCAGGCAGGTCACTCTGGGCTTATTCCGCAGGGCCTGAGGCCTGGGCTACTCTGGGACCCAAGGCACTTTGTGACTGTCCATCTTCAGGGTCCTGGGCCTGCCTCTAGCCAACTCCGGGGTCAGGCAAGAACAAGTTGGTGTGACAGAGGCAGACCTACCTCAGACCCAGACCCTGGCCCATCCTATCTTCTGAGCATCAAGAGTACTGGCTAAGTCTGTGAGCTAGGGGCCCATTTGTACAGGTCAGTGGTCACCTATGAGAAGAAGTCCTCGTGATTGTGCTTGCTACCATTTGTCCCTCTTTCATGGACAGCGTCTGCCTCACTTTCTCCAGAAGCACACCAGGAGACTAAGATACAAGTGCATATAGTTAATGTGGGAGATGAGGACAAGAAGCACCAGTAGAGGAGTGGCAAGAAGACAGGGAAAGCAGCCAATAAAGGCGTGTGTCATCAAACAAGTTCCCACTGTGAGCAACAAGGACCAAATCCTTCTGGGGACTCTGGGAGCCATTGTAGAACATGGGCCTCACATTATTGTTCCCATCAGAGCAAGGGAATGCTAAGGTATTCATTCTCAAATCTCCATCAGTCATGGGTTGAGAGCAACTTGGAGACATGAATACCCTAGCCTGCCTGACTTTTGGCCAGCCTAGAGTGTGGGCAGAGCATTCTGACCAGAGAGAGAGTCTTCAGTCCCTTTCAGGGGCTGGCAGATGGAGTTGGACGGCCCTCATGGAAATGGTGCCAAGGCTGGTTGCAGATCCTGGCTAGAAGGCTTTCATCCTCCCACTCCACTCTGCCCCCAACATGCTCCTCAGTTAGGCCAGTCACTGGTACCTTCCTCCATAGGGTATTCACACTGTCCTGCAGACCCCCTCACACTTTCCACTGTTCCCTTTCCAGGCCCCTTCCCCTCTCCTTTCCAGTAATTAAGCACATAAAAGCCTCCTGCCTTTAGATACCTCCCAGCACCCCAAGTCCTTCCATTGTTCCCTTCCTTCCAGTCAAACTCTTGAAGTCATCTTCTCTCACAGTTTCCATTGCCTTGGTGTTGGCCATCTTATATCTGCTACCACTGCTCCCCAAAACTTGGTATTGCCAAAGTCACCATGGAACACCATATAGCTAAAATGGGGCAGGGTGGGGCGGCTATCGTCTTTTTCTCAACTGAAATCTTTCTGGCCTCTTCAAAGCCTCACCCACCCTTGTGACCTTGGCTTCCTCCTGCTGCTTGTCCTGCCCCTCGGAGGTTTTTACAGGCCCTGCTTCCTCTCCTTCCCCAGGAAGTGCCTCCTCAAGACCCAGCCTTGGCTTTTCTCCCTGGCACATAGACTCCCTCCTGGGGTGATCCCTCCAAGGCCACTGGCCTCACTCACATCTAGATCTTCACCAGATCTCTCTGCTCAGGTGGATATGGGTCTAGGGTCCATCACTAAGGGATATAAAAGATGCCAAATGGAGAGGAAGGGCTGGATCCTGGGACGGCCCTGTGGTCTCTCCAACCTCATCTCATCTGATCCCAGTTATGCCTGGGATGGTCAGCATCCACCAAAGTCCAGGTCAAGTCAGACTTGGCCCTGATTAATGATCCCAGAGAGTTCCATCTGGGACATTCTGGGTACCAAGAGGCAAAAGGATCAGCCTCCCCTCAGGAAGCTAGGTACCCCAGACCATTTCCCTGAACCCATATCATCCCCACAGTTCTAATGTGTGGAAGGGACACAGACTAGGGATGGAGCTACCTTTTTTTGTCTTCCACTTTGCGCTGACCTCTAGGCTGGACATCACCAGAGAGGTATCCTCTTTCCAGGACACACCTAGGCCCATGTCATCCCTGGAGGCTGGACTCTGCTTCTTCATGGAAGTGGCTTCTGTTTACACAGGCCTGGCCCCACCTGCACATGGGGGGCCAACACTGCTGGCTTTAGAGAAGCTGTAGAAGACAACTTGGGCAGAAGATGAGGCTGGATTGGTCCTAAGGGTGAACAACTAATCCTCAACCATGGATGGGACAGAGATGGGGCTCACCCTCAGTTGGGGACTGGGAGTGCTAAGGTGGGACTTCCTGATTGCAACCCCGAGACCCTGGCCCTTGAGACCCCATCCTTCCATTCTCTCTACCAATACAAGGGGCCAGAAGCATTGACCCCAGAGGAGCAGGAGAGTTTGCATTTCCTGCTGGACATCTTGGCTATGCTTAAAGGCACTGAGGACCCCACCATCAGGGCTGAGGCCCTGAGAAGCTCAGGTGCACAAGGTGAGGCCTAGGGTGGGGTGAGTGTTTCTCTCTAGGGGTGCCCAGACCCCTCTGTAGAGGCAGGGAAGCATAGATCAGGTAGAGGATCCTGGGGTTTTATGGGGAGTGAGGAGGGCTATCAACCAGTCCCCAAATGAAGCATCCAGTCACACTCTGTGACTGCCCATAGGCTTCCACCTGCCCCCCCAGCTACCAAATTTACACCACTGTACATGTCAGGTCCAAGAGTTATGACAATATTTTTGCCTCTTAGCTCAGGCTCTGACACAAGTACAGATGCCCCCACCATCTCATCCATGAAACCAGGACTTCCAGGTTGACTCCCAACCTGGAGTTGGGGGCCCTTGACCAAGAAGTGCCTTTGGTCAGAGCAATAGAGACCATTCTGACCCTTTAGACTCCTAAGGTTAATTTTTACCTATGTTCTCTCATCTGATGCTGCTTGGGTAGTGAGCCCTGTAACTGTCACCCCTCTGCTGGCCCCAGGGTACATGTGGAAAGACTGTACAGGTGGAAAGAAGTCCCAATCTCTTAGGCCAAAAAGCAGGGATTTGGGGAAGAGTTAAGACTTTAGGGAGGGCTTTCTGCCACTGAGGGAGCTAAGGCTGGACCAGGGTCCTCCCACCACACCTGTGGGCATGCTCCTAAGCAAGTACACTCAGGCCCACACTGGTATGCTGGGACTCTCAGATTGGACATGCCCAGCTTTGGGCTTATTTGCCACAAATGTGTGCAAACCAGCCTTTCATACCACATGCAGTGGGCCCACTCTCAGGAATAGGGGAAGGCCTGCTGCCCTCAGAGGAGTTACAAAGAGGCTCCCAAGGGACACCTCAGGCAGGGTGCACTCCTCTTTCACCCTCTGTTCAGGCACCTGGGACAGAGGTGGGCCTTGCCAGTGGCTGCGGGAGGACTAAAAGGGTGAAGGATAGCTTGGACCTTGCCAAAAATCCCTCCCACATGTCGTTCCACCATCAAGCCCCTCAGAGAAGGTGTCAGATGGGCCCCTAATCCAATGCTAGTCTGGTGCAGTCTTGCCTGGGGCAGCGGCCGAAAGCGCCTCTGCCCCTCACACTCCTGCACAGGTCCGCAAGGGTTTAGAGCGGTCCCCTCTGCCACCTCCTCCAGGAAGTCTTCTCTGGTTTCCGCTTGTCCAGCCCCCAGACTTTGGGGGAAACGGGGTCTCGGGGGGTCAAGGGTCACTAGGGCGGGCCAGGTCCCGGAAGCGGAAGCGCAGCGCACTTCCGGTGCGCAGCAGGCGGCCATGTTGGAGCAGCGGAGGCGGCGCAGAGGCGCGTCCTGGGTCCCCGCGGCGGCGCCGGTAGGTTGGGGCCGTGGGCCTAGCCACGCCGCGGAGGGGTCGTCCGCGAGGCGGCAGGGTGGATGGGCCGGGCGCCCGGCTCCTTCGGAACCAGCGCCCTCCGCCGGCCCGGCAGAGACCCCCAACCCCCACCCCGTGCCCAAAGACCCCACCCTGGGGCTGTGCGACCCGGTCGCGCTCTCACCGCCTGTCCCGTGCATTTCGCTTCCTCTAAGGCCCCCCGTTCCTACCGTCGGCTTGGGTCTCAGGGACGCGGACTCCCAGCCTGAGGGCCCTGATCTGCCCCCGCCCCAGTTCCGCTTGGTTAGGGCCGCTCCCTTCCCGCATCTTTTCATCAGCTTCCCCGGCCGGCCCCGGGGACACTTGTGAAGGGAAGTCAGGGGTCGGGCTGCAGTCTCTGTTTTCCGGAGCCTCTTGGAAAGCCCAGGAGACCCCTCCCAAGGGCCCAGGCCGACCTGAGCGGAAGAGCCCCCGGTTCACCCCCAGTATCTGTGCCTGGAGGTAACAGGTCCCTCCTTATTGTACTCACAGCCCTGGGAACTACACCCCTTGGGAAAAAAGAGAACTAAAGTCATGTGTAAGGACTGTACTTGGAGAATGGCCTCTGGAGAGGGGAAGTGCCCGAGACACCTGAGGATCCAAGAATGTTTCCAAACAAAGAGCCCCAGGGCACTTCCTCCAGGGAATTCTGAAAACTTCTGCTCCACTAGGGGGAGGAAGAAGCTGCACAGACTCACCTCTTGGCCCCAGAGACTTGCCTGATCCCAGCTGATCTTTTAATTCTCCTGTGCAGCTGCGGAGCTGTCTCTGGGACCCCTCAGTGATGGGTTAGACTAGATGTTAGTCATGATTGACGGCCTACAGCTTTTAAAGAGAAGCCTGGGACAACTTGGGTCTTCCCAGACAGCTCCAAATGGGCTGTACCAAAGTCTTCTTCCAAGCCCTAGTTAGGACAGTTCAGATCTCTAGGGTCCACTTTATTAACCATCTTACTCGGAGTCATTGGCTCCCAGACCTTGGGCTCTTGGTCTGGCTGCCTGGCGCCAGGCTGCCTGATTGCCTAGAGATGTATTATTAGTACCTGCTACTCATCTTTTTAGTTTCTGTTGAAGGAGAGTCTGGCTTTTTCCCTGGGGTTGGTCTCCATGACTCTAGTGCTAGGAATTGGACCTCTGAGTGGACTGTCTGGGAACTCTGAAAGCAGAACTTCTGGTGGGCAGGGAGGTCCACCCCTGGGCACCTGAACAGCAGCAGCTGTAGGAACAGAGATGGTCATGGACTTTGGATGTAAGTCTGGGCCCTTTGGCCAGCATTCAAGGAACATTCAAAGCTTGTATTGCCCTGCTGTCCCCTGTTTTTCCAGCTAGACCTCCCAGCCCTGACCACAGATTCCAGTCACACCAAGTTTGCCTTGCTCTTTCTCACTTTGGAGCCATTGTATTGGCTGTTGCCCTTTTTGCTCCATCTCCATCTGGTCCTTTCCTATTCATCATTCATGTCCCACATGAATATTCCTCTCCCGGGAATCCTTCCCTTACCCATTGGCAAGCTGAGCTGTGTGCCAGTGTGCATTCCCAAGAACCTTGAGGGTATCTCTATCTTGCCTTCTGTACAGGGCTCCTGGAAGACAGAGATATTTGCCTGTATTCCCAGTGTTGAGTCTAATACTAGGAATTTGGCCAAGCCCAGATCTCTCCAGGGGCCCGTCAGCAGGTTGGATGGCTCTGATGAGCTTATGGGCATGTATCCTGAAGAAGCTGCCTCTGACCCATATGAATCCCCCACCTCTACCCCCCCACCCTCCACTGTGATAGGTGGAGAAGACCAGGGTTTTGCCCCAAGGAGTGGCTCACTCTGGCCAGGCCCCTCTGTGTCAATAGATGTTATTGTGAAGATTGCTGGCCCTGATTGACCTATCTACCGGTCCTGGCCCCTGTCTCGGTGCTGTTCTTATTGACTCTTCCTTTTGCCTTGGAGGTGCCAAGCGCTGGTTTGCGGATACCCAGGCAGATCTGCAGTGCCTAATGCCATGAGCGTGGTGGTGCAGCATGTGGAGGAGAAAGCTGTGCACTCCTGGTCGCGGATCTCCACGGCAGGGAAGAAGGTCCTGGAGGAAGCGTTGCTTGTCTTTAACCCCATGAGCCAGGATCTCAGTGCCACTGAGGCCCAGCTTGTGGCCTTCCTGCAGGGCCTGCGGGATGATGGCTTCCAACCTACCATCCTGCGCAGCGGTGATGTCTATGGCTATAGTTCGTGCACAGCCAGCCCCCCAAGCCAGACAAAGCTTCAAGCTCGTGCCCCCACCCCAGCTGCCACATCACCTCCAGCCAGTGCTCCCCGAACTGCCATGCGGCTGCCTGCAGGCCGGGCCACGCTGCTCCCCATGCCACTGTCTGGCAGGCTGGCCAAAGCATCCACACCAGCCCTCGCCAAGCATGCCACCACCAACCTGCTACTGAGCTCCCTGAAGCAGTCAAGTGCCAGCCGTGCCCGGGGTGCAGCAGTGGGCTTTCCCACCCACCTCTATCCAGGTGTCTACCCTGCCATGCGGCTCTCCGTTGTCCTTGAGGCCCTGGTTCCACTCAAGACTCCCATGCCCTGCTTGGGTGCCAAGCACAAGGCACAGTCACTGCAGCTCTCACTTGCAGACTCTCCCCTGAAGCTGCGGAAAGGTCCAGGGAAGAGGCTGGGGAATTCCCAGCCCAAAGCTCCCAGAAAAGCCACAAGCAAGGGCTCCAAGTGTCTGACTCGAAGAGGCCCCAGGGCTGGATCCCGACAAGGCACTGGGCCCCAGAGCAAGACCTACAAAGCCTCTGGTTCCCTCAGTGGCCCACGAATGAAAGGTGGCTGTGCTCTGGGCACCAAAACAGCCCAGGCCAAAGCTTCCCGTGCCCAGGCCAAGGTGGCTCGAACACAAGCCAAAGCTGCCAAGGCCCGGGCAGAAGCCAAGGCAGCACGGATCAAGGCCAAGGCCAAAGCCAAGGCAGTGCGGGCCAAGGCTAAGGCCAAGGCAGTGCGGGCCAGGGCCAAGGCCAGGGCAGTGCGGGCCAGGGCCAAGGCCAAGGCAGTGCGGGCCAGGGCCAAGGCCAAGGCAATGCGGGCCAGGGCCAAGGCCAAGGCAATGCGGGCCAGGGCCAAGGCCAAGGCAGTGCGGGCCAGGGCCAAGGTGGCTCGGACCCAGCCCAGGGGCAGGGGCAGGCCAAAAAGGTCTGTTCAGGCCAGGACTGCAAGGAGGGGCCGGAAAAGCTGCCCTGAGACTGTGGGACAGAAGAGGAAAAGGACTGAGGAGGCAAAGGATCTTCCTCCCCAGAAGAGAACACGGCTTGGGCCCCAATCCCCTAAGGTATGGCTAGGACCTGGAACGGCAAAGCTGCTAAAATTCCGGGCCATCAAGGTGGCCAGGCAGTCCTCAGATGATGAGGTGCGGCAGCAGGCTCAACGGATCCTCCGTGTGAACCTTTCCCCTGTAATACGACTTCAGCCATTGCTGCCATACTCAGCACCCTGATTCCTTCACGTAGCGACGTTTGGGGAAACTGAGCCCAGTTGTCTGTGTGGCCAGTGGCACAGTGTGCAATGCCCATGGATTCCACAACCCTAAAGACTCTGGGTGCCTCTCCAGGGCCCTGGGAGCCACCAGCCTCCTTTCAGAGACTGGAGGATGTGGGGTGGGGTGGGCGGGTGGGAGGGATGGTGTCATGGCGCGATGCACTGTGACTTGTTACTCTTCAAGTTGTATGTCCACTATTCCATCTATCACGTTTTATACCTTTCCACCTTCCAGTCTCCCTGCCCACACTCCATGGTCTTTTTTTGTATATGTGACTGCTGGTAGGCCAGCTTGGGTGTTTAGAAAAGGTAGCCCCAGGAACAGGAATGCCAGAGAGGGTCCTGGTAGCCCAGGGAAGGTCATGGATGTGAGTGAAGGGCAGCCTCCAGGCCTCTGAGGGCAGGGGCAGAGCCACTCTTAAGGTGGGACACCTCCCCTTGGGGCTGCCCTGGTTTGATAATCCGGATGCTCCCTTGGAGGAGGACAATAGGTGGCTCTGTGGGGAAACTTGCAGCCTGCAGGTTTTTAGGCCAGGGAAGGGGAGGTGCAGACAGCCTGGCCTTGTCTTCCAGTCTACTCTGGCTGAAACCTTGGAGCTTTGTGTGGGCTTGTCTGGGGCAGGGCGGGGCCTAAATCGGCTGAAGTACTTCTGCCTACTCTTTTCTCTGCTTCTTTCAGGAGAGGGACTATCGTCGACTTCCCCAGTTGGTGGCAAGGGGTTGGGGCTTGAGTCAGGGGCCAGGGTAGCTCTGGGTTGTAGGGCCACAGAGTCCCCTCACTGACCAAGGAATTATATTGGATGGGTGGAGTGCTGCGGTCTCTGAGCATGGAGAGTTTCCACACTGCCTCTCAGTGCTTTCTGCCTGGGTTCCAAGTGCTCTATTCCCAGGTCCAGCCTCAGCATGTCTTCCAACAGGGGCCTGTATGTTCAGACATTATTGGTTCTTCCTGCTTTGGAGAGGGGACAGAGCCCTGAGCCCTGAACAAAACTAGCTCCCTGCCCATCTGCCAATCCATCACTGTCTGCCCAGCCTGAAAGGCAGTGGCTGGGGCTGGCGGGGAGGGGGATACATTCCCCAGAGGCTCCTGGAGACGGAACAGCCTTTCAGAGCTAGGGGTGGAAGCCTCATTTGAATGAGAATTGGATCTTTTCTGTCTGAGGGTTAGTCTGAACCCTGGCTGCGCCAGCAGCAGCTGCGTTGGATGGCGGACCTGTAAAGAAGCTCTGCTTCTTGGTGCCCCCCTCCCCACCTTTCTTCTGCATCTGGTGACTGCTATTAATATCCTTTCCCTGGGCACGGCCTCTCTTGGTTTCCCAGGCTCTGGGGACACCCCCCCACCCTTCTCCCAGCTGTACCATGATTCCACAACCATGCGTGCTCCTTGCCTCTGGCATCCTTGAGTTCATCTACCTTGTGAGTATGGGGAAGGACCTGAGGGCCACACTCAGATCCTTAAGGGCAGCCCAGCTAGGGGCACACTCTGTATTCTCTCTCTCTGGCCTGATTCTAGCTCCAACAGCCCAGGACTCCCAGCCGGGCTAGCCCCTCCTTTCAGCTCTGCTGCTGCTGCTACCAATGGGTGAGAGGTGGTCTCTACCTGAGAGCCATCTGGAGGGGGAGAGGAAATCATCGGGCCTCCCTGTGGGATGGGGTGAGGTGGGGGGCGTACCCCTAGGATCTCTATACTCAGACCCTGCCCCTCCCAGTTCAGGCTCCCAGAGCAACTGCCCGGGACGTGCCAGACAAACTTCCTCCACCCGGCTGCTCAGGCAGCAGCTGCTACCCACCTACCAGCAACCTGATTATTGGCTGTGGCCAGAACCTTCGAACCTCATCCACCTGTGGCCTCCATGGCCCTGAACTCTACTGCATTGTCAGTAACCTACAGGTAGGGAGGAGGGTACGGGCTCTGGAGATGGCATCTTGGATTTTTTTGGGCAGGTTCAGCACCTGTGGGAGTTCAGGTCATTGACAAGGGCCAGAGGGAGAGGCCTGTGCTGTGAAATTTTGGAGGGGGTTGTGGCAAACCAGGCACCTCCTGCCTAGTCAGTCTCATTGGGCATCCCTCCAGGATGCTGAGAATTGCTGCTTTTGTGACTCTTGGGACTGGAAAAGCCATGGCATTGAGAACGTGATCTCCCACAGTGGTCCTGGCGGCAAAAGGATCTGGTGGCGAGCAGAGCGTGGTGAGGGTCCTTGTGTGCCCATGTGTGCAGGGCTGGGATCAGGGTCAAGGCCTGGCCACTGACCAGCCCTTGTGGTTACAGGTGTTGAGAATGTCACCAGCTGGACCTAGAAGATGCCTTTTACTTTACCCACCTCATCATGACTTTCAAGGTGACCCACTGCCCGAGACTGAAAGCTTATTCTCTGCCTCCTGACCTGATGGCCACTGGTGATGTTTGCCCCTGGTGACCCAAGGACCCCCTCCTATCCCCAGACATTCTGGCTCTGCTCCTTGAGCGCTCAGTGGACCATGGCCACTTCTGGCACGTGTACCGCTACTTTGCCCACAACTGCTTAGGCCTCTTTCCTGGGATTCCTCTTGCCCCTGGCCACAGAGTCAGTGACCTCATCTGTGAGCAGCATTACTTAAGACATCGAGACTTCCACTGAGGGAGAGGTCAGGCCCAGAGGAAGGGGGGTTAGGCCCTGGGATGAAGCCAGAAGCTCAGGCTTGCTTCTTAGGTAATTTCAAAGTTCTGGATCCAGCCATTCTGGTGGAGAACCCAAATAATACCAAGGTTCAGGGTAATTATCCCCACAGCCGGTCCTGTACTCCTTTTTTGGGAAAACCAGATACCCCCTGGTGGCAAGTGAGGTCCTACCTGGGTATGCGCACCGCAGGGCAGGGTGGCGGGCAAGCCAGCCCAGTCCCCCAAGGATTGTTTCCCAGCTCTGCTGCATTATGGTCCCTGTTACGGCTCCCCATTCCTGTCCCATACCTGTGCCCAGTGCATAGGGACTGGCCTGGGTAGCAGTTTTCATCTCTGTCCCTTATCTCTGCCCCATCGCTGAATTCCTTTGTGAGGCCCCATTGTGGTCATCACTGCTGGCCATGCCAGCCCAATCTTTGTCCCCCACCTCTGCTCCTATCACAGTGTACCTCATAACTCTCCCCTTTGTAAGCCACTGTCACTGTTCCCCATCACGGCCCCCTGTCTGCCCTCCCCACTTTGATTCATCACCCTGGCCTTGATTGGTACCCTGCGTTCCTGAAGCTGCCTCCAGGTGGCGCCAGGGCGTCTCTGGGTGTGACCTCTTCCTTGTAAAACAGAAGTCTTGTTAAAGGACTAGAGAGACATAATCATAACCCAGCAGGGCAGCCCAGAGCCAGGCCAGGAGAGTACCAGAGCAGGAGGACAAACCCCAAAGTAGCTTTTTCTCTACATTCTACGTTCTCCACCCACCTTGACTTCGATTATTACCAACTACTTACCCTGAGCATGCGTGCACATACACGCCCCCCCCCCCCCCCCCCCCCGGCCTTACTAGGGCCTAGAGCAGCTGTTGTGTGTTCCTCTGATCAAGAGAAAGGGGAGCATTGGCAAAGAGATACAGGAGGTGGCCTCGGCTTGGTAGCTGACTTAAGCTGTGAGGAGCAAGAGGAGCCATGGCCCCATCTTTCCATCCATGTGTACATTTAACAAGTGCCCATGGAGCCCCACTGTGTGCCAGGCATCTTCTGGGCCTTGCTCAGTGGTGAGCAGATAGACAAGTTATCTGTCTTGGAGCTGACATAGAAATGAGAAAGGCAGTCAGTAAATAAACATACCTTATGTGGTTTGGCTGGATAATAAGCTGATTTCTAATGATGGGCTGAGGACTGGAATCCTTTACTGCCTTGGGGAAGCAGGTTTCCAATATCTAGAGATACCAGAAAGGGGTGTCCAGGAAGCAGTGGGATATGCAGGTCTCAGCTCAGGAGTGATATCAGGTCTGGAGCAGTGCAGAGGTGGGATAATCACCATTAGGCTGTGGTCATCCTAAAATGGTATAATCAGGGGAGCAGGGATGGGAGAGTCCTACAGCATGGGTGCTGGAGGAGGTGGCTGCAATGATGTAGAGAGGGGAGAGACCTCCACCAATTCCTTCTCTATCAGCCATAGAGGGGTAACAACCAGTGTACCTGAGGGCTCTCGATCTGTCTCCAGAGCTCCTGCATGTGACTAACCTCCGTGCAAACTTCAAACTGCACACACTGGGTGACAGGCCCCAGGGGGGCTTCAAGGGACACCCCTTCTACTACTATGCCCTCTGAGCTTGTGGTCCAAGGCAGCTGCCTGTGCCATGGCCATGCCTCTGAGTACAGGCCTGCACCCAGGGTCCCACCCAACGTGGAAGGCATGGTGAGTACCGTAGGAGGGGCATCCTGTGGCTGGTGGGAAGGCAAGCTGGGGGACTGGGGTAGACTCGTCTTGCCCTCCTCCCTGCCAGGTGCGTGGCCTTTGTGTCTGCTGCCACCACAGAGCTGGTACCCACTGTGAGCACTGCCAGGACCTGCACCAGGACCACCCATGGCAGGCAGCAGAGCCTGGGCACCCCCATGCCTGCTAGGCCAGCCCACTCCATATCCACCTTCCTTGTTCTGCTCCAGAATGTGAGTGTCATGGGCATGCCCGCAGTTGTCACTTTGACATGGCCCTGTATCTCGCATCTAGCAATGTGAGTGGAGGTGTGTGTGATGCATGTCAACACAAGACACCTGGGTGCCGCTGTGAGCTCTGCCAGCCCTTCTTCCACCGAGATCCCAGGGAGGCTCCCTGCTCCCTTCACTCCTGCAAACGTGAGCCCTCCAACCCCCAATCCTAATTCTGACCCTGTTCCTTCAGTTTCAATGGTGACCTCTGACCTGACTCTGTCCACACTTCTGACCCCTGATCTAGCCTGTGACTGCAACCCTTTGGGTGCCCTGGAAAGTGGTTTGTGTGATGCCCACACAGATGAAACCTCGGGCCTCCTCTCTGGGCAGTATCGCTGCAAAGTTCACGTGTGGGGCCAGTGCTGTGACTCCTCTGGCCTGGTCACTACGGCCTGAGCTCGCAGTCAAAGGGCTGCCAGTGTGAGTGACCCTCAGAGTGGACCCCCACCACCAGGTCCTCCTTGCTCTGCCCCCAATTACTGCTCTAATAACGCATGCACCTACCTACCCCTGCAGCACTCATTAGCACCCTGACAGCCCTGTGCCTTAGCCTGCAGGTGCAATCCCCGGGGCTGCATCCCTGGCACTCATGCCTGTGATCTCTCCAGTGGTGCCTATCACTGCAAACGCCTTGTCTCTGGATGGGACTGCAGCCGTTGTCTGGTGAGGTTTGACCCACCTTCTGATTTGACCTTGATTTTGGGTGCTGAGCTCCTAGAAGCTGACAAGTACAAGGTTGTAATCAGTGTGACTGCAGACTAAGCCTTGCTGGTGGGTTGGTGCCACTTCCTGATCTGGTCACTAGAGTCAGTGCCACCTTGGCTAGCTGAACCAGCACATGCCCTCAGGTGGGAGCTTTGGGAACGAAAGAAAAGCATTTAAAAGAGTTACAACAGTATTATGCACTGAATTTAAAGGTGTTTCACAGCAAAAGTGTTTGAAGGGACACTCAGTGTATCCCTTTCTTGCCTCTCCTTGAACATTACAAATCCTTTGTTTAACTTTAATTTTACCCCTGGCTGTGACCTCATCTTCTTACCTCTTACCTCCCCTCCATGAAGCCGTGCAGGAGTACACCAGGGTCTCCTCTCCACTTCTCAGCCAGAGGCAGAAGAGCATTAAAGCCCTGGGCCTCACCCTTGCTTCTTCCTGCAATGAGCAGTCCCAGCATATGGCCTTCCAGGGTCCTGATCCTCCTCTCCTTGCCCAGGTCTTCCTGTCCTTTCTCCACCCACCTACTTTCTCTTATAGCCCAACTTCTGGGGTCTGAGTAGTGACTCACTAGGCTGTCGGCCCTGTGACTGTGACTTTGCGGGTACAAGACAGGGACTGGGGGTCCAGGTCAAGGGACAAGAATTGGGAGTTGACTCTGTCCCGTCCCCACCCCTACGCTGGCTCAGGTGTTCTGCAAGGGAGGGCCTCTGCCTCTGCCGTCCCCACCTCTGTCTCCACCACTGCCGTGAACACTGGTCTGGGTACTTCTGTGCTGGCCTCGACCAGGCCACTACTGAAGCTGAGCTTGGTCTGGGCCTCCAGCCTGCTGACCCCCAGCTGCTTGTGAGTGTCCAGGAAGGGCAGGGGCAGGAGGAAATCAAGGCTCACACCTTGGTGCTCAGGGGAGGGAGAGAGTGTCCAAAGAGAGCTAGTTGGAAGAAGAGGCCAGACAGGGTTAGGAAGGTGAGGCAGGTCCAAGTGAGGCAGCATCAGCATGGTCAGAAGCTTGGTGTCTTGGATGGAGTCCATATTCCCAGGACAGGGAATTCCCTGGCAGTCCTGTGGTTAGGACTCCCAGCTCTCACTGCCTCGGGTGAGGGTTTGATCCCTGCTCGGGGAAGTAGGATCCCACAAGCTGCACGGCGCGGACAAAAAAATCCTCACCTAGGACAGTGTGGGAGGACACTGACACCTGACTTGCCCACAGGGAGCCCCCGAGCCTTCTCCTCCCCACTGTACACAAGCCCCAGGGACCTCCCCTGGTTGGCTCAGGCCCCGACTTCAGAGACAGTGTGTCCCTCGATATGCCTCCACCCTGCCAGGTGAGCCTGTTACAAATACCAGCTGCCCAAGGTAAGGAGTGTGAGGAACAGGGTTGGGTCACAGGCCACTAGGTCTTAGTCGGGATGGGCCCAAGCCCTGGGGCTATGAGTCCCTGGGGTCTTAGAGGAATGGGAATCTAAATCCTGAGGGTCCTAGGTCCTGGAGTGGTCTGGACCTGGGAGTCAGTGTCTCACATCCAGGCCCCAAAGGAGCCCCTGCCCCTGCATCAGGGAGCTGGCTGTACACTGTGGACTGGCTCAGACTTTGCACGTGTGGTTGATGGGGCTGGCCTCTCTCTTCTGGCACCCATAGTGCCTTCTGCCCTGGAGTGTGACATTGTCCTACGCTATGAGACCCAGGTCAGTAGCATGGGTGCCAGGCAGGTGGATGGGTGGTGCTGGGTGGTGGGTAGGGGCAGCTCTATGACCACTGACCCCTAACCCTAGGCATCTGAAGAGTGGCAGGCATTAGTCAGGGCCCATGCTCAATCCCAGCCCAGCAGTACCCGCTGTGCCCATCTGCTGCCCTCAGAGCAGCTGTTCCAGGTGGCCTTGACCCAGATACACAGGTAGGCTAGACCCCATGACCCCCAAAATACCAAGACCCTGTTACGTAGCCAACACATTCAAAGCAATACCCAAACAAAGAAACCTTCCAATATGGAATACCATCATGTCATAGAACAATCAAAGCAGGGACCTAATTTAAAACAGGGCAGGGTTTAAGAAGTTGGTCTTTTTCCATTGGTTGTATGATGAAATGTTGTACCCCATATCTGCACAGTGGAAATGGGGCATTCCTGGGACCACATGATCATGACCTCCTTACCCCACCCTGACTCCTCTCCCCGGTCCCTGCAGAGCTGTGTTTCTATCCAGACTTTTCCACTTTGAACCTGGAACACGCTACTCCATGACCCTGTGGCTATGGCAGACCAAGGGGGTGCAGAGACCTGGGAGGGGGGCACCATCCTTCTGGATTCGGTGAGATCCTAGGGATTCCACCCCACATCTGGGTGGAGACACAAATTAGCAGGACAGTATGGATGCAGTGGGCTCAGGGGACAGGGGATTGTGGAGACATAGAGTTGCACCAAGAGGATTGAGACAGGTGGAGAGTGTAGGGAGGGGGAATCAGGCAGGGGAAAAGCACATGCCAGGGATAGAAGGTGAGACTGGCAGGTGCCAGACCTCACAGGAACTTGTGGGCCAGGCGAAGGGCTTATCCTGGGGAAATGGGGAGCCCTGGAAGGGATTTGAGCAGGGAAGAGACATGGGGAGGATGGATTGTTAGGGGGAAGCTGCTTCAATGATTCTGAATGAGAGGTGGCATTGCCTGGACTAGATCAGGGCTATTGGAGAGGAAGGAGAAACAGAATCAAAAGAGAAACAGGAAAGGGGTGGGAAGGGGCTGTGAGGGCCAACGTACAGAAGTTCCATTGTAGGTGTTAGTGAGTGGGACTGGGTTCACTACCCCCTGCCTTCCACCCTTTACCTTCCTAGTAGGTTGTGCTCCTGCCACAGGTGAAAGGGTTGCCTGGACTGAGGTCTGTGGACCCTGGGGCCACGGGGCACTTGCAGGAGCTCCACAAGGCGGGCTGCATGGAGGCAGCGAGGATGAGCCTCTCCAGCACTATGCCTGAGGCCTGTGCCCGCCTTGCCTGCAGCATCTCTGCCCTGTTCCAGGGGGGTGGCCTTGGTGAGTGTGTGGCCCTGCCTTGAGGGGGCTGAAGGATAGGGGTTGCAGGAGGCACCATGAGGTTCATCTGATCTTACCCTTTCTCCTGGCAGCATGTGAGTGCCACCCCCAGGGTTCACTGACCACCGAGTGTGCCCTGCTGGGTGGGCAGTGCTGCTGCCACCCTAACATTGATGGTCGTACCTGTGACCACTGCAGGCCTGGAACATATGGCTTCCGGCCCACTGGCTGCCGTGGTGAGCCCTCAGGGCCAGTGGGTGTGGGGTCTGGGACCAGCCATCTCCTTTCTCTAGGGCTTGATTGCCCTGTCATTTCCCACAGAGTGCTGCTGCCACACCAAGGGTGCCACCAATGCCATTTGTAACCCTGTGAACGGGCAGTGCCCCTGTCGGGCAGGCCTTGCTGGTCGCTGCTGTGACCACTGCCTCTGTGGCTGGTGGGGCTACCCTGTGCCTGCAATGGAGCTGCTGAGTTGTGCCATCCACTCACAGGAGTCTGCCAGGACTGCCACGGTGCCACAATGGGCCAGCACTGTGAGAGGTGAGGCTGCCACTGGAAGGGTTGGGGAGGGATCGTGATGAGTGGGCTAGGCCCCATTCCATGTGCTACTGCCCCCAGGTGCTTGGATGGCTACTACGGAGACCCCACCCTGGGCTCAGGCCAGCAGTGCTGGCCCTGCCTCTGTCCTGGGCACCCTGGCTCAGGCATCTATCATGGGACTTCCTGCCACGTGGACAGCACCAGTGGATGTGTCCTGTGTCTCTGTGCATCTGGCTATGCAGGTGAGGCATGGTTGGCAGCGACAAACCCATGGCCCTGCTCACTTGTTCACAATCCCATCAGGTCCACGAGGCAAATCTTTGCCAGTGTCACCTGTGTGTTTGAGCTGCAGGGCGCACCCCTCTCCTCAAGAAGTTCCCATTCTTGAGGAATTATAGTAATGGAACTTGTAAGCCAAGAAGATGGGTCATAATATAGCTATTGTGTCCTCTGCCCTCCTGGCTGGACCTCAGACCTTTTGGCTGGCTAAATGGGACCCAGAGGCCCCAAAGGTACAGGAAGACTACTGAGACAACCCACACATACCCCAATCCACTCCAGGCCCCCGCTGCGACCGCTGCTCCTTGGGCTACTTTGGGCACCCTTGGCCAGGAGATGACCCCAGAAGGAGTCTGTGCCAGCCCTGCCAGTGCAACAACAATATTGATCCCGTGATCCAGCCGCCTGTGACCCCCACAGTGGACACTGCCAGCACTGTCAGCATCACAGCCATGGCCCTGGCTGTGCCCACTGCGGGCCTGGCTTCCAAGGCAGTGCCTGCACCAAGGGGGCTGCCGGCATGAGTGTGTGAGTGGGATGGGTGAGGGTATCCCAAGGTGGGGGGTGCGTTCTCTTTCCTCAGACCCCATCAAGCCCTTCCTCTCCCCAGGCTGTGGCTGTGGCCGCCAGGGCACCATACCTGCGAGGTGCCTGTCTGGGGCTGAAGCCTGCTTCCGCAACCAGGTCAGTGGGCAGTGCCCCTGCTGCCCCCACACGCTGGGGCGGGACTATAGCCGCTGTGCCCCCCTCTTCTGGAACCTGGGGGTGGGCCCCGAGGCCGCGAGCCCTGTAGCCGCCGTGCCCAACACACTTTGCAGCCAGTGTATCACCCAGTGAGTGAGCCCTTGTCGCACATAGCACGTGGCAGTGGCCAGGTATGAGTGAATGTGTGTGCCTGTGGTGTGATTTATGGCTGGTGTGAGTGTGAGTGTTAATGTGACTACCAGCAGCAGTGTGTGTGGCTGCAAGCAGCTGTGTGTGTTCTGGTGCAACATTAGCTATGAGCAGACATGAGACCACGTGGGCCCGACCCCACGTGCCACCGTGTGTTGGCGTGTAGGTGAAGCACTGTGAGTGGGTCATGGCAAGCAGAACGAGTGTGGCACGGGTGGGGCCGGGTGCAGCTGGGAAGGAGGCAGAGGAGGCACGGGCGGAGGGGGAGGATTGGGAGATGCAGGCAGAGATGGATGGCCATGGGAAGCGAGTGTTTCCAGGAGGAGAGACGTCAGGGACTGAATGAGATGAGGTCTGAAGTGTGTTCTCGAGTCCTTGGTGAGGAGAGGGTGGGAGTCGGCGGGTGAGCGTGTGGAAACAGTGGGGTGCTCCACTCAGGACACAGAGGAGCAGGTCAGGAGTTGAGAACCCAGAGGGCCGGTCTGTGGGAGGCGAGGCTGGCAATGTAGGGACAAGGTGGGGGCCGGCCAAGGGGGTCAGACCAGAGGAAGCAGGAGGGGAGAAGCCCTCAGCCAAGCACAGGTATGAGTGCTGCCTGGGCAGGAACAGGGCTGAGAGGAGGCGACTGTGTGCTGCCTCTGAGCTCTCCTTTCCTTCTTCCTCCCCCAGAGGAGGCTCTTTGTTTCTGCGGACTGGCCACACACTCTTCCTTCAGGTCATGGGTCAGTGCCCCTGCCAGGCAGGATTTGGGGGCTGCATGTGCTCCTGGTATCAGGATGGGTACTGGGGTGACCCAGAGCGGGAGTGCAGAGGTGAGCAGGGCATTCACACAATCCACCACCAGGGGTGAGGCTGTCCTGACGGGATCCTCCCTGTGGGATGGCGGGGGAGCCACCAGGTTGTCCTGAGGGAGAGCACGTGTTTATTGCTGTTTTCTCCAAAACTTAAAGAAATACTCATGAAAACAGCTGTAGGGAAAGTGTTGGCTAGGCCAGGTCGGGTAGGCCTGCGGAGCAGACACATTGGGTGGTTCTTTCCTGACCCCACCTGCCAGTCTTGACCCAAACTGACCTCTCCCTGGGCTGTAGAGCACCTGGAGCCCTGTGCTGTTTTCCTGCCCAAAGGCTGCCATGCAGTATGGCCTCTCTGGCTGGGGTAGATGCCAGTACCCATGACCGTCCTCTCTTTTTTTTTTTTGCTGTACGCGGGCCTCTCACTGTCGTGGCCTCTCCCATTGCGGAGCACAGGCTCCGGACGCGCAGGCCCAGCGGCCATGGCTCACAGGCCTAGCTGCTCCGCGGCATGTGGGATATTCCTGGACCGGGGCACGAACCCGTGTCCCCTGCATCGGCAGACGGACTCTCAACCACTGCGCCACCAGGGAAGCCCCCATTCTCTTTTTTTAAAAAAAATATTTTTTAATTTATTTTGGCTGTGCTGAGTCTTAGTTGCGGCACGTGGGATCTTTTTAGTTGTGGGGTGCGGGATCTTAGTTGCGGCATGCATGCGAGATCTAGTTCCCCAACCAGGGATCGAATCCGGGCTCCCTGCATTGGGAGCGCGGAGTCTTTACCCACTGAACCACCAGGGAAGTTCCCCCATGGCTGCTCTGAGCAGTGGCTTAGGTGAGGCTCTCATACTCACACAGGGTCATTCTCCTCCTCAGGCTTCTTGGCGGCAAGCCTAGTGTGAGTGCTGCTTGCTCCCTACCCTGACCCTCTCTCTCCCCCACAGCCTGTGCCTGTGACCCCCAGGGCTCCATCTCGCCCAGCTGTGACCCACACACAGGCACCTGCTGCTGCAGAGAGGGCATCTCAGGGCTGAGGTGCCAGGCATGTGCCCGTGGCTCCAGAGGTGGCTTCCCACACTGCATGTCCTGCCCTCCCTGTTTCACCTCCTGGGACCAACACCTGGCTCTGCTCCAGCTACAGCTGGACACTGTGGCCCACAAAGTGGCCGCCTTACACCAGGGGATGCCTGGCTGGGGTGCTGGGGGCACCTGCAGGCCTGGAGGGGGTACTCCAGCAGGCCCAGACACTCCTGGAATCTCCTTCCCCCGCTGTGGGGCCCCAACGACAACTTATGGAACGGATAGCTGGACTCAGGCAAGGGGTCTGGGGCCAGTAGGAAGGAGGTCTCCAGCTAGCCTCCCAGGGTCAGGGATTCAGAGGGTCTTGGGTTGGCCTGTCTGAGTCCTGGGTCTGGGAGTGAGGTGAGTTTTCTTGAGTGAGGAATCAGGGAGGAAAGGGCATCTCTGGCCAGGCTGATACTCCATCCTCCCACAGACCGGAAACAACTGCATTGGCCCAGACACTGTGGGCCAAAGGACAGGTTGTAGCAGAAAGAGAGCCATGGGTTAGGGGGCAGTGTGAACATCTGGAAGAATTATCCCAGAAGCTAGACTGTGTCAAGGGCTTGGCCTGGCTCAAGAAGGCCACAGGAGCCCAAGGTGAGGCCAAGTAGGCAGGTAGGTGGGCCGCAGGTGATGGTGGGGTCTAGGCTGGGGCAGGAGGAAGGGACCAGGTGCCTTTGCTTACATATCTGGGGGACCCAGGAGTCTGACTGACCCTGCCAGTGGAAGCCCTGAGCCAACCCTGTGTCTATCGTTCTTATCCCCTGCAGGTGCTAAGGCCCAGACCTCCTCAGCTGCCCTGCTTTCTCAAGAGGCCATGCTTATAGCCCAGGCTGTGGCCACAGTTGGAGGACCAGACAGCATCCTGGGACAGGCCCAGGAGGCCTGGTGGTGGACAGAGAAGCTGCTGTGGGGGATGGGCTGACTCAGAGGGACAGCTGTGTGGCAGCTGAAATTGAGGGGCTGGTCCACAGGGTCCAGAGGCATCACCCTCAGCTTCTGCAGCTCCTAGTCAAAGCTGGAGTGGTAGGTGGAGATATGGGTCACTGTGGGAGGCTTTGCCAAGGCGAGGACTCTCTCCTAGGGGTAAACTGGGTGTAGGGCAATGGGAGCGCTGGGACATGCATTCCTCACTGGATCCCCTAGGAATCGGGGACCATTCCCCTAGGGGTCGGGGACCTCGGTTGTTTTATGTTCCTGTACCCTGTGGTGTTCCCTCTTGTCCTGGGACCCTGCCTACCTCCCAGTGGGCTCTGGTTACCTCCCATAACTCCTCCTATAGCCTGGACATGGCAGTCACAGCCTTGGAGCAGTGTCAGCAATTGGTACAGAGCCATGGGGGCTGTGGAGGA